TGCATTTGATTCTATCTGTCGGTGGTACGCAATCTTCGCAAGAATGTGGACTTAAACTTTGTTGAGAAATCATCCCAGTCGTTGAATTCACTTCCAAGAAACCAATTTCAGGCCGCTCTGACCAAGCACGAGCGTATGAACTGCAACCTGTAGTTGACAGGCCACTTGTTTAATCGCGCCAACGAACTCGTTTCAATTATCCGCTTTGGGCGCTTTGTACGCTGTTTCTCGTCCGGAGAATTCTTTAACAGTTTTGTTAAGATCTGGAACGATTCAAAACTCACCAATCGCACTACCCACGCCACTTGTGTTCTCACTGACCAAGTGGGTTTCTATTCGTGCGGTCAACTGTTGTACCATCGGTTGATTCGAATTTAGGTTTTCAGTCATTTTGAATTTGACTGTATCGTCGRGTATTAMACTGGTTACCAGTTACGGATCAGGGATGATGATCTGATCCACAGAAAGTTCAATGTGTAATGRACTACCCAATTCTAAAAAAACAGAAGGGAAATAAAATCCTCCATTGGTTTATCAGAATACTACAGAAGATTTATACCTGATTATGGAAAGATCGCAAGACTACTCACTTCCTTATTGAAGAAGAACGTTGAGTTTAACTGGTCAAATTTATGTCAACACCTTTTGAGGATTTAAAAATAGCTATAATAAATCTCATTTGCAATTCTCAGACTTCAATATAAAACGTTCAACCTTACATATGATAGGGGGCGTGTTATCACATAGGCTAGTTGGGAAGGATTTTCAAATTGCCTATGCTTTACGAACATTAAATAAAGCTGAACAAAACCCTATTTATTGGGTCAGGAATTTTACATTATCAYCGATCACTGAGTATCAAGTTGACTTTWTAATGTCAAGGACTCTGCTTCATGACTAAATCAATGGAGACTTAAATATTAGAAGAATATCAGTTTAATATCCAATATAACCCAGGATGTAACAATACAAACGCCRAARTCATTGAGTAAAACTCTAGAGTCACTATTAAAGCACATTGAGAAATGAACAGAATCTCCGGATGTGCACCGAAACCTTTCTACGTCCGAGAATCTTCAGATACATTAACTTTTACATTCCTTATTGTATATATTATGAAAGAAAACATATCACAAAAATACTTCAACTAATCGGATGCTGAACAAAAACTAGAAAATTAAAATATCCTCTCCCCCCCCCCTCCTCGTGGACGTATTTATGTCAAGCACCGTTTTATGTACGAACAAAAGATATGACTCGGTTACAATAAACATTTTATTTTCAATAATTGTAATGACAATAATGTTATAATATATGAAAATAACATAAAATTTTTGATTATGATGCCATTATAGGAAATTGCGTACTAATACCTATATACGTATCTATATTATTGGGGCACATTCCTAGTCATCCTGGTATACATTTATATAATCTATAATTAGCGTTTTCGTTACAACTTTATTACAATATACATTGGTTGTACTAGTTGTACGAATAAATTAAACTACAACAATACAGTAACTTTTTATCTATTTTATACACAGAAAATAATTATTTACAAAATATAACCTATGATCACAAAAAACTTGAAACATTCACCGTCCGGATAAATATATACATATAAAAGCAATATAATATATACGCGTATTAGGTATTTAGATTATAAGCACACGGGTAATATACAAATACGACATAATATTATCAAACTATAATAATTATGTGTCTTATACTATTASACTGTATAGTACTATAGTGGACAGAGCTATATTGCCTTAAATGTTGAGGCCAACATTACAAGTAKAATTGGGATGATTGCTCATGCCCAATTAGGGCGATTGTATACTCCGCCAGAATATTGGTAGATAAAAAGGTAATGAAAAGATTTAATATAAACTCCACCAGTTTTATTTTTATACATGTAATTTATGTACGTGAACTCTGCTTAATTTATTTTGGTATCTGTAATAGATGTTTGTGTATACTAGTATAAGGGAATTGCGGGAAAAAAATCTCCGCACTAGAAAAAAAA